CCCTTTACTCGTAAATAATTCAGTCTAGCTCTCATCCCAGTTGCGTAAAAACCCCTCTTTGACCGATTAAAATAGTATCACGCAACAGTACAACGCTTTAACCCATCTCCCAAAATTCATTGAGATTTGAGACCCCGAAGGACCGAATCTATGCTAGGAGCATTAATTCACGTATTAATGCTCCTAACATAGATTCGGACTTTAGGAACTTAAATAGCTATAAAAATTAAGCCGATTTTTATGAAAATTGGTAAATAGGTAAATTTCATAGAGTAGAACATTTTTAATTAGTGGTTCAAATTTGAATTCGTCATAGAAAAATAAGTTCTTCAATGTGAGAAATTTGCTAATTGCAAATTTTCATTTAAATCACTCTGTTTCACAGAATAATCAGTTGTCAAATTATTTTTAAAAAATATCAGAGGTTTCAAGGTTTCAAATGAGCACTTTTTATTTTGTTCAAACTAATAGTCATGGCAACAAAAATTCTAGAAAGTTAATTTTCGTGTTGTGTTACATGTGTGAGCCAATTTATATATGGTATTCATATATAACTCTAGTCTTGACACTAACCTAGAGTGTAAATATCCATAACCATAACACTTATTTGTCATGTGTTACTTGCACAAATAAGTAAAATCCGACTTTAGAGATTCACATGACCACCAACTTGAGCCGGCTAGTTAATATAAAAATATCTAACTCAGTTGTGCCTTAAAAGGGGTTAAAAAGTAACAATAGGAATCGAGTGCATCTATGTACACCCCATCCATTTAGGTTAGGCGTATTTTTGTGATGCTGTTGCTTCTTTATGCACTGTCAATTTTGCAGTATGTCGGAAATAGTGTTCGGTAACACTAAAGATCGGTTTATTAAATTCTGGAAGAATTATGGTCACAGTGAAAACCAAAAATCCAAAGTGATCGAGAAGATTTCATTAGAGAAGTGCGATAATCTCTAGTTTTACAGGCGTGACGCGATATTTGTTTTCAGCCTTTGCTATGTGCTAAGAAGAAGTATATGAATATTTTGTTGCACTCGCTTGACATAAATGCCTTCATTTTAATTTAAAAGTATAGAGCACAATTATCATAGATAATCTGTATCTTATCGATGAAAACATAATAGCCTTTGTGCTGTCACTGATTTTCTCCAGGTATAACCAACTTCATTCTTCCAGAACTCGTCAAAGAGTTTCTCATCTACTTGTTTTTTACCACCTATACCAACCAGACTAATGTATATATCAATATGATTGTATTCGATGAAATAGTCTCAGAGCATCTGACTGAGAGTAGTTTGCCTGATGATAAAGGACTATGCAAAAGATCAACACGGTTCTTTTCCACAAATTTAGTGATCATATTCAGTCTTTCATCTGAAATAACAACAAGACTATCACGACCTCTTTTGATTCTGGAGGATACTCTTTCTTTTTGTCTCAGTTTCTGTCCGAATCTTCTAGTTTTTCCTGATCGAATAAAAGAATGAAATAACTCCAAATTTTCTTGTTTGAGAGGTAAAACATTGGGAGACACTTACAAATGGTGATGGATGGTTGTGCGATAATATTGATGTATTCATCGTTGTGTTTTTGTAAATAATCTTTAACTTTGCTAGCCAGTTTCAGCTTTTTATCTCCGAGATATGGTTCAATGTCAATTTTTTCGGGAGACTTGGCGTTGTTCTTAAGTATTTCAGTTTATCGTTTCAGTGAAATAGGAATATCAACCTTCCAAAGAGTCAGTTTATTAGCGTCAAAATGAACAAAGTTGTTCTTATTCTTCTTCCAGATACCTCCTTAAGATGCGAAACGGTTTTGATTTCTTCGGTAATATCAAACACAAAATGCTTATCAGTAGGACGAGACAAACTACCATGATGTCGGTAATATATCTGCAAAAACACGAATATCGAGAATTAAGAGAGTTTTGAGAGGGTCATAGATACATGTAGATCGTCATATACATGTACATGTTCATGTCATACGTTATTTACGTCAATAAAATAACTTGATCACTAGAAATTGGTGATGAACTGTGACAAATATATAATACAACAAAAATAGACTCTTAATCGACTTAATTCAAACTTTAACTCTTTGGGTTCAAAGAAATAAGAACATATTCAAAATATACAAAAAGATGGGTCGAAAAAATTTACACACAATCTGGATATTTATATAGTTTGATTTGTCGTGAAAAGAAGAAAAGTTTGTAATCGTATTTCTGTTATCAAAAAAGAAGTTAAATAAATACGTATTGTAATCATAGCATTGTTACTTGATGGCATTAGAATCTGAGATTATATTTTTTCAACTTTGCTAGTCAATAAGTCCCTTAAGCTTCAGAATAACTATATTCGGATCTTCATAATACCATATCTCATCGTATAGTTCTTTGAACTGATCACACATCAATTGCTTCTCAAAGTCTTCCTTATTTTTGTGGAAGCATTTTACGTGTTGCTCATGTTGTTTACTTTGTACCTCTATGGCAAATACATACTGCGGATAGTAAATGTCAAGCTCTAGTCCTCGAGGATACTCTGGTGTCTGCTCTGCGAATAATACCATTGAACCATTCGCATAGCAAATATACTTTCTTTTTTCTGTAAAAATAAATTGACATATTACGGGACAATTTGATTTTATTGGAATGGTTACACTTGTGCTAGCATACAATGTAACTTTGGTAATGTCGTGGTTCAGGTGATTATTGTTATAGATATAGTGGATGGCGAAAACGGTAAAATCTGCGGAATACAAGAATTGATCGAGATAATGAGACCATAATTTTTTACGTAAAGACATACACATTACAGAATATGATATGATTCTGAATCTATCTAAAAAATACGTAAATTACGTACATGTATCCGTAAGCGAGCATGATGTGTGTGTGCATATATGCTTATACGACTTAATATTTATCCTTTTTCCGGCACACTTGTGCCAAGTTGCGTTTTTGGTACAGCAATCCACACAGGTAAGATGGTGCAACAAATAATAAAATATGCTGGAAAAGCCTCCCGATACCTTCGTCATACTACGGATAATTTTGGGACAGCAATCGCCTATCAAAATATGGATATGCTAGAAAAGGATTTCAGGCTGAATAAACAACTTTGATATAGGTGACTGCTGACCCAACGATTTTTTTCGCATTAAGAATATTATTATCTTTAGTAGAAAGTGCACTTCGTGCATTATATATCTAGCTCCAACTTACCACCTTCTTATTATAGAAACAGAAATCAGACAAATAATCACTCTTAGCCTTAGGACACTTTATGTCCCGCGTAGCTTATTTTTTAACCTTATGTATATGTAAATGTGTGTGGGCTCGTGCATAAAAAATATAGACTGTATGATCGCGACTTTTTTCGGAAAAATATGTAACCAATTTTAGCGAAACACATATACTAAAATACTCGTCTTGATTAGGCGAATCAAACGAATCCGAGTTTGCAAAGATCCGACTATAGATTGACGAGATATTAATATCCAACGATGCCTCATGGATCATTTCGCAATTCCAGGAATCATAGATTCACTCAACATTGTGGCATGTAGTGCCTTTTGCTCCGCAAACGAGACAATGCCAAAATACAGTAGCAATCAGATCTTCAAAAATCGACGTAAGTTCGCACAACACATTATCGTTATGTGTGCGAATTAATTATCCCATGAATTTGCGCCTATCAACCGTTATTTTTACTAACCCATTTCCATTTTTTGTTATCGTTATTCGGGATGATTATTATGGTTCGGATGGTTATTATTGTGATTTGGGTATGTTGTTACTAATGCTATGCACGGTTAACATCCGATCTAGAAACATGCTGTTTTCACATCTTATGGGAATTAGAATGGGACGAATTTAGAAGATCCGACATTCGGATGTCACAAGCAAAGATTACACGTTAATAATTTCTCCGCAGACACAAAGTGTCTATAACTACGCCTTCATATTTTTTCTTCCAGCAGGTTCACAATCTTTCAGTAAGTAGGAGTAGCACAGAATCTCAGCGCCAGCTGGCATAAAGTGCCAAAAAGTATAAAAGCAACAGAGTTTGTGGATGATTGTTTACCTCACATGGTGAATTCATCCATGGACATCTTACAAAACAATTATCACAATAATAATCTGCATACAAATTTCAAATCCGTTATATCTCGATTTAACACTTGCGAATGAGGTGACACCCGCGAAATTTAGTGGCAGTGATACTTTTAGTTTGAAGTTCTACTTCTAACAAAAGAAGAGCTCAAGTTACTTATAGCAAAGTATGTTCAGATTTGTATTTTTAGTGGACATTCTAGTTTATGTTGATTATTTTGGATTTGTTAGAAAAATAGAGCTTTAATAATGAAATAATAATTAAAATGATACAGTATCATGTTTCATCAAAGCTACAAAGTCATATAATAACAGGTTCACGTGCTTTTATTGGATTGATAACTGGAATTCAATCACAGAAGCTGAATTTATTCGCAATAAGTTATTTATCAGTTGAGTTGGAAGTTCCTTTTCCTGTTGACTACGATTCAGATCTTGTTACCAAGAATTTTGTTAGGACTCTTCGCAATGTATTCTGAACAAATATAATTTATTGCTTCCATTATGCAATTGTTCTGAGCCACTACCTATTTATCTTCTCTTGCTTAAAATCATCTACAACAAACTTTGACGAGTTATTGACTCGAACTATTGAGCGTTTTAGTCCATCCAGGTTATTTAAATCATTTGGAAGAGGATCTGATCCTAATTCATATATTTATCTTATATTTGGCTCAGATGAATTTCTGGATTTTTATATTAACGAAGAACTTTACTGGGAAATTGGGCTAACACGTGAAAGTGATCATTTAAAGGAACATTCAGAATGATTTGAATGAAATGACGAGTATGCTGACATTCTATTGAAAGATTGGGCTATCATTAACTTCTGATATCATACAAAACTAGTAAGAAATTTAAAACCAAACATCTGGTACATATATAGTGATAATATATAACTGAATATAACATTTCAATTTATTTCTACTTGTTTTATTTGTTTATTCGATTTATTATCTTGATAATTACAAATGTGAAATTCCAAAGTTCTTAATTCTTCAAGTTTAGATTTTAATTTATTGCTAAAAGATTGTTAAAAAGAGATTCAAATAGAATATGATAAAGAAGAAAGATCACGCATCTTATTCTTTAATGCTATAATTATTTCTCTCAATATAGTAGTTTTCTAGATTGCTAGAAATAAATAGATATTATTTTTTAATATTTAAGAAATTGGAATATGACTCAGATATAACTTTTAACTTTTCAATATTAATAACTTTTCAAATATTTCAGGAAATGAATGCAAAAATAATATAATAATTTATTTGGCTATAAAAATTTGATTACTTTTTCAAAGAATTCTTTATTTTTTTTTGCTAATATTATCTGAGCATAAAATATTTATTACTATAAAGTAAGTTATATAATTGTTTTTTTGTATATTTATAGAGTTTGTCAAATAATCTCTTGAAAAAACAATATTTGAATATAATCTTGTAATAAAATCAAATAAAATCTAATATTATTTCTAATTTCTAATTACAAATTAGTTATATTTCAATAATTTTAATTGCTTTTTGTAATAATTTGTTCTTATTAATTAGAAATAATATTTTTATTCTAGAAATTTTTTAGTAAAAAATATTTGTAATATAGTAATATAATTTTAAAATAATTTAATTCAAATTAAATATATAATTTTTCAATTTTCTATATTCAAATTTAACTAAAAAAATAAAAGTCTTTTAACTTATTTTTCTTTTATTAATTCAAAAAATTATATCTAAAATATAATTTAGAAAATTCTATATTAATAAATTAAAATAGAATTTCTAAATAATATTAATAAGTTTTTTTTATAAAATTTTAAAATTTTTTATTATTTACAATAATAATATAAAAATAAATAATATTTATTAATAATTGATAAACTTATTAAGATAAAAAATTTTAAATAATATATATATATATATATATATATTAATATAAAATTTAATATTTTAAGTAATATATATAAAACTTAATATTTTTATAAAATATTAAAATTCAGAATATTTTTTTTATAAATAATTCTTGTAATATTCAAAAAAAGATGCTTTAGAATTAGAATATTACCTAGTATTAATATTTAATATTAAATAAAGAAAATGAATTTTATTAATATATTAATAAGATTAGATATATTTTTTTAAAATAATAGACTTTTAAAAGTGTTATATCTGTTTTAAATAATTATTTATTATAATTTTTATCATTAAATATTTTTTATTCAAATAATTTTATAGTTATAATTTTTATTACTAGATTATTTTATCAAATAAAAATAAATTTTGAAAATAAACTAATTTATAATACTGTTATTATATAATAGTTTAATATATATTATATTATTTAAAATATATATCTATTGAATAATTAATATATATA